AATGAATGGTTATATATTTCTTAATGCATCTTGCAAAATTTCACCCCATAAATCTTTTACTGGTTTAATTTTACTTCCAAAACTTCTGGTACAGTTATCACTACATACTCTCTGGCTGTGATGGTATGATTAATGAATATACTATTTGGGTCATTTTTTGTCCATATTGTTCTTGTGAAATTTCTCTATGAGAGCAGTGTAGGTATGTCTTATTGTATGAAGTGAATGGTTCTGTTGTACGCTTGTGGTGTGGAGCTGTAGGATCAGCACTGGACTATAAACCATAATGTCAGTAGCTCAAACCCATCAACTGCTCATTGTAAACTCATATATGAGCCGGAACTGACTTGATGTCACTTAACACCAGTAACAACATTATGGAGCTAATCATTTAATCTCATAATCAAATGCATATTTATTCAAGACAATTTGTTATGTTGGAATACATAAAAAAAGAGCTTAACAATTTTATAAACAAATATTAAAAATTCTAGTACTCTAAAAACCTTTTCTAGTAAAAAGAGTTCTGTCTGGATTTTTCGTATCTTTAACAACAAACCATTTCTTACCTCTTTCTTCAAACAGTAGTTATTGTGCTTGTTTTCCCATACTTTGATGAACCTTTTAAAGGCAAGTTTTCAAAGGTTGAATATTATTCCTTTTCATGGAAACACCCTTTCATGGCAACAAGGGTAAGCCAAAAAGCATTGCTACTTCAGTTCAGACATGCTTGGGTTTATTCCAAACAAAAGGGGTTTAAACATGTCTCTGTGATTAGTAACTGGCTAGAGACAAGTTCTCTCAGCAACACATTTGTCTTAGTCATGTTATCTTTAAAAATAAAAAAGCATACTTGTTTGGGGCGAGAGAGAGAAAAAATATTTTTACGTCAGTGTTAGTAGCGAATTTTTAACAAAACTCAAGTGAACATCTCCCTAAATCATTGAATTGTAAAAAGTTTATGGGAATGCTGCCTCACATAAAGCAAATGTTTTAAGAAGGATCAAGCATTTTAAGGAAGGTAGGGAAGACCTCAAAGATGAGTTAGGAAAGGGGAGGGAGACCATCAACCTTGACAAATGAAGAAACTATGACTGAAGTCCAAAAGTGGTGGGAGACCGTACAATTACCATTCTTTGGTAATTCGGCAATTCGGTAATATGGCAATGCAATAGCTATTCAAGTTGGCATTGCACATGGTATCACATTTTCAGTTGTATGCAAACACCCTGGCCTCTGCAAGCTTTAAGTTCAATGGGTAGCAGACAAATTAAGAAAACATCAGCTAACTGAAAGAGCTGATCTTTTCATCAATCTTTTAATAAGATTAGAGCTAGTGAAGATAATTTTATGGACTAAATCATAACCAGGGACGAGACTTGGATCTGTCAACACTATCCAAAGAGCCAGTCAGAACAGTGACTTTCCAGGGGACCTGCTGGGCCAGCTATGCTAGAAGAAAAGCTGTATTTTAAAAATTTCTTAGAAAAATAAAATTATAAAGTTAACACACGATGAGACAGTCCAAGAACATTAAGCCAGTGAGGAAAAGATTATTAGACAGGTATGCCAGATAGTTTATTAATACAAATACTATATTTCTGACATTTATACTTATGATATTTGTAAGACTTTAAAATGTATAAAGTGATGGGATTTCTGCATTCTAAATGTCAATTTTTTAATACATGTTTGCACCTGAAATTTTGAATCTTTCCCCTTAAAAAAGGAAAAAGTTGACAAAGAGTAGACTCCGGCTCATGGCAGTCCATGTGTGAGAGTAGAACTGCACTGCATAGGGTTTCCAAGGCTGAGACCTTTGGGATCAAATGGCTAGACTTATCATGCGTGGTACTTCTGGGTGAGTTCAGGCCACATCCTCGAGGAAACTTCCTTTCAGTTGATTGGCTGCTCTTAGCCGACCTCATCATCGAGTTAATGACATTATATTAGATCTAATAATAGGGATAACTACATCTTAACTGTCAAACCATTAAGAATCCTGGCCCAGTCAAGCTATCAAAAACCTGAACTATTACAATCTCAAAAATACATGAGATGAGGTCTCACAATCCACTCTCATAAGTGGTATTTTGACTGTACTTCCAAGACAGATGTATTCTTTCTTTTGACAGTCCATAGTAAATTCAGTATTCATCATCAGTGTTGTTGTTGTGAAGTGCCATCAACTTGGTTCTGACCCATAGCAATGCTGTATGTGGTAGGGTTTCCAAGGAGTGGCTGGTGAGCTTGAACTGCCGACCTTGCAGTTCAAACACATGCATTCATTCTTCTTTGATCTTTTACATCTTTGCCTTTTAACACTTTTAAGATTCTTGTAGCAGATTTTTCCAATTCCATATATTGTTTGATTTTGAACTGCTGTATTCATGGGTGTTGATTGTAGATAAAGGTACAATGAAATCCCCAAGGACTTCAAACTTTTCTTCATTTATCATTATGTTGTTTATTGGTCCAGATGAGGTTTTTTTTTTTTTTTTTCTTTATGTTGAGGTGTAATCCATATTGAAGACTTTGGTCTTCGTCATTAAGTGCTTCAAGTCCTCCTAGCTTTCAGCAAGCAAGTTGTAATCTGCATATCTCAGGTTGTTCATAAGTCTTCCTCCATGATGCCACATTCTTCTTTTATAGTCCAGCTTCTTGAATTATTTGCTCATCATACAGACTGAGTAAATGTGATGAAAAATGATAGCCCTGATGCACACCTGTCCTTATTTTAAAACACACAGTATTCCCTTTTACTGATTGAAAAACTGCCCTTGATCATACAACTATATATATGTATATAGTGCCATGGACTGCCAAATGAACCAATAGATCCATTTTGGTAGAAGTGCAGCTAGAGTGCTCCTTTGGAGGCCAAGATGGACAACTTCGTCTCTCATACTTCAGACATCTTGTCAGGAGGGACCAGTAACTGGAGAAGGATGTTATGTTTGGTAAGGTGGAGGGTCAGAGGAAAAGAGGAAGACCCCCAATGAGATGGACTGGCCAAGTGGCAGCATCGATGCACTCAAGCGTGGCAACAGTAGTGAGGTTGGCCCAAGATCAGGCAATGTTTCATTCTGGTATGCGTAAGGACAGTTTGAGTTGGTATCAACTCAGTGGCACCTAACAACAACATACATACATATGTATATATATGTGTGTGTGTGTGTATGTGTGTGTATATGTGTGTATATATATATGTGTGTGTGTGTATGGGGGTCTTCAAAATACTCATGGAAAAACAAAATTGAAAGAATGGAACTTTTCCACAGACTTCTTGAAGCTCCCTCATACACACACACACACACACACACACACACACATACACTTACACATACCTCTAAAGTATTCCATAAAAAGGCAAATTTTTCTTCAAACATCAAAAATAGCTTGTTAAATCTACTGTAAAAGACCTCTTTAAATTTTTAAAAAGCAAAGGTGCTACTTTGAAAACTAAGGTGTGTCTGACGCAAGTCATGATATTTTCAATCTCTCATATGCATGCAAAAGTTGGGCAATGAATAAGGAAGCCCATGGAAGAATTGATGAATTTAAATTATGGCATTGAAGAAGAATACTGAAAGTACCATGGACTGCAAGAGGAACAAACAGAACAGCCAGAATGTTCCTTAGAAGTGAGGGTGGCAAGGCTTCTCCTCCCATTCTTTGAACATGTTGTCAGGATGGACCAGTCTCTGGAGAAGGGTCAACAAAAAAGAGGAAGGCCCCCAATGAGCTGTAATGAAACAGTGGCAGCAACAATCGGCTCAAACATAACAAAAGTTGTGAGGCTAGCCCAGGACCAGGCTGTATTTCACTGTGTTGTTTATAGGGTCACTAGGAATTGGAACTGCTCAAAGGCACCTAACAACAACAACAACCTTATCGTATTTTTTTTTTAATGTTTAAAAAAAAAAAAGAATGTATTAAATTCTTGCCAAGTGGCTGACTACTTTTATACAAACATTTTTCTGCTTAGGAAACTTGAGTTTTCTCATCTATAAAACTAATTTATAATCATTATTCCTAACATGAGGCTAAATAATCTCATTATAATTGAATTTATAAGCTTAAATATTTTGTTTTAACAAAGACATATCTTAAGACAATCTAGTAACAGAAAATGAAACGTTTTGAGGGAAATGGAAACACAAATTCCGTGAATTGAAAAGGTTGTAATTTAGAGTAATTATTTCTAATAAATTTTTGACCTAGAAAAAAAAAATAGCTTGCTAATGATGGATGAAACCTTTTAACAATTTTACATACCATCTTTCCCTTCAATTGTGTGTGTTTGGTTTTGTTCTGTCAAATTCCATGTTAAATTTTGTTCTGTCAAATTCTTCCTCTGGATGGAAGAGCATGACAATGAGAAGCATGCCCCATTGTCACTCACTTCCTCCTTACTCTCCTTGTGTAATAATGTCACATGTACTCAGGAGCCAGGGGGCTCTAGGGTGGGGACTTTCTTCTTTGACTGAACTTTCTAGAATCTTGAGGCTGATGGCTGCTTCATAGCATCTCATTTTTTACATATTGAGGGTGAGAGAATAACTTATCTGGGGCCCACAATTGTTGTTGTTGTTGTTAAGTGCCGTCGAGTCGGTTCCGACCCATAGCGACCCTGTCTGTATAGGGTTTCCGAGGGTGTAAATCCTTACGGGAGTAGAAAGCCTCATCTTTCTCCCGCGAAGCGGCTGGTAGTTTCGAACCGCTAACCTTAAGGTTCGCAGCCCGATTCGTAACCACTACGCTACCAGAGCTCCTTGGGGCCCACAATTAGTAAATGATAATGCCAAGATTAAGTCCTGTTCTTCTGATTTTGACATTTAATGGTGAATGTCAGTGCTATCTTCAATACAATGTGTTTTCACTGCAGAGCAATGTTTTTCACAAAGGTAAAAATTGCCAAGCAATGCTTTTGATAATTCCATGCTACCAGAATTTCATATAATGAGATAAAAGATTGTAGGTTTACTCTTTCTTCACAGGATTCATACCTGTATGTAGCCTTGGTGTGGCTCAGGTGGGCAGGATGAACTTTGGAAAGGATGTCAGCACCTTGAAGTATTTTACCATCTGTGGCTTGCAAGAGGGCTATGAACCATTTGCAGTGAATACAAATAGGGATATTACCATGTGGCTAAGCAAGAGGCTTCCTCAGTTTCTTCAAGTTCCATCAAACCATGAACATATTGAGGTTGGTTTTTCTTTAAAAATCAGACTGTTTAAAAATCAGGAGTAAGCTGTCTCCAGGAGTTCTTTATACACAGTTACTGTAACATACTTAAAATGATGACCCTGTTATGTTGCATAGATGTAGGACCTAACTATATGATTAATATCTGGTACTAGGTCTTTATGAGTGTCTGAGTATACTGATTAAGAATAATGAATTCCCTTTTTCTATAGTTACTGTCAGGCTCAGTATGACAGTGTATAATTGTAATATGAATTTCCCAAACTCTCTTTTGAAGTATAAGCAAAATGAAGAATATGTTTGTAACCCAGTGATCTCTATGTTTGAATATCTCTTTTTTGAAATGAGGTCCCATGTGGACTGTGTTTGGAAATTGAAAGCATGAGTGAATGAGTTATCTTTAGAATCAGAAAAGAGACAATGGTAATTAGAATGTGAACTGTTCATTCTACCTTTGGTAGGTAACCAGAATAGATGGTACCATAGACAGCTCTCCATGCTTGAAGGTGACTCAGAAGTCCTTTGGGTCTCAGAACAGCAGCACTGATATCATGTTTTATCGTCTGAGCATGCCAATCGAGTGTGCAGAAGTCTTCTCCAAGACGGCTACAGGAGGACTCCCTGGGGCCGGCCTCTTTGGGCCCAAGAATGACCTGGAGGATTATGATGCAGATTCAGATTTTGAGGTTCTAATGAAGACAGCTCATGGCCATCTGGTGCCTGATCGAGTTGACAAAGAGAAAGAAGCTCCAAAGTCAGAGTTTAATAACCACAAAGATTATGCTCAAGAAAAGCCCTCTCGTCTGAAACAAAGGTCATTATTATCATAAAGTATGATCTGTAAAATGTAGTTATGTCAAGAGGATTACAGTAGAAAGTCAGGGATCTCCCATTGCTAATTTGTTCCTCCTGTTTCCCCAACCCAGTGTTCGTGTGTGTGAAAAATATTCTGAAGGAAAAAATGTACCACCCATTAGTCATCCAGTTTCTTAGCCCTTAAATAATTTATTCCAATAGTTACTTTTCAAGATCTCAATATTTGCAGTCTTCATTGACACTAAGTATTCTGTATAAATAATACATTTTGTGGATAAAAATATGGGTTACTTTAGAATATTTCCTTGCGGTAAACTAATATTTCTCAACATGAACACACTTAGCACTTTGGCCAGATAATTTTATGAATAGTGGCCGTCCTGTTCATTATAAGATGTTTAGAAACATAGCACCCTCTCTCAGTGACAATCAAAAACGCCTTCAGAACTTGACAAGTTGCGAGTCACTTTGCTGAATTGATTATATGCTCATGTGTGAAGTAGACAGAAGATTATCACATAACTTACTCCTAGTCCTCTAATCATTTCAGATTTCTGCTTAGAAGAACAAAGCCAGATTACAGCACCAGTCATTCCGCAAGACTGACTGAAGATGTCCTTGCCGATGATCGGGATGACTATGATTACTTAATGCAAACGTCCACGGTATGAGCTTGCAGCAGTTTTCATTTATTTTAGTTTTTTTATTGTCATGTTTTGCATTTTGAATAGCTCACTTTGATTTATTGTATTTGTCAAGTTTATTATAAGAATAAATCATTAACTTAA